ATATATATATATATATATATATATATATATATTCAATGAAAATATAAAATTATAACAAGATTAATTGATACTATATGTCTAATAATTTTACATGTATAATTTTCCCTAACTATTGCATTTGCATTTACTCATCCCATCAATAGACTAACCTATTCATAATTTTCATACATCAATAGGGTATTAAGCTTAGTTTTCTAGCCTTTTGAGTATCTTGGTCTTAGTCATTAATATGCCTACTCTTACTTTTATCATTACTCTATGGGCATAGACACGAGTATGCATAGACACGAGTATGACAATGTCTTCGTCTTCTTTAATAAACAAAATAAAGATGATGGGTCACAATGTCAAGTCATTAAGAATGCAATGAGAGTAACAAAACTCTCATAATGACTAACCCTTGCTCTATTCTTGTAATCACAACTTTATAAGAGAACACAAAAGTAAAAAACTATTATTATTATTATAATTATAATTATATTTATTTTATTATTTTATAATGTATAACAAATTTATAGATTGAGGATAATTCAGATTATTTCATTTATTAGTTTAATGAACCAACTTATCCTATATCCATTTGACCTATCTAACTTAACAAACTAAAATAAAATAGTCTAACTTTATCTAAACAATTATTTTTAAGGCCTATTTGCAAGTAATCAGACTCACCCATTGTGTAAATCCAATTTGATAGTTCTACTATCAAATAATTTACTAACATTATTTTGTTTTATATTCTTAATTTATTATAAAGTGTATTAATAAAACATGAACTCGTGTATTTTCATCACATAAGTGTATGTAGTTCTGGATATATATTAAAAATATAAATCACACTTTTCAATGGAAAATGTACCGGGAGGACCCTGTCGGTGTCACGTGGACCAACACGTGCTGTTCCGTCAGACACCCATGCGAACTGGACCATACCTAAAAACCTTGATGTTAGCATTGGCCGGCCTACAGCCGAAGGCCGGGAATAGTCTACTAGCACATATCGGCTCGGTTTCAGGCCGATGCAAACAACATGATGCATCTCCATACACTACGTATCGGCTCGGCCAAACGTCGAGAAAGTAAGGTAACTGAGTAAGTGCTTGTCGGTCCGGTCAACAGCCAAAGACGTGCACCTTCCCAAGCCTTAGCCTGTCGGCTCGGCAATGCGCCGAAAGGTTAAACGGATTATAGTACAAATCACAGTTAACAAGGATAAGTGCATGATTAAGACATGATTAGCTGATTAGCATCGTATTACCTAATTTGGTAAGTGTCAGAAAAGGCCCACTATGTTCAGGCCCATGTCAGGTATTATAAATAGCTCACACGTAACGAGGTACGTCACTGTTCATTCTTTACCCTAGAAAATCGTGCTTGTCCAGACTTGAGCGTCGGAGTGCCTTTTGCAGGTACCTCCCCCCTCTGAAGTGTCTACCAGAAGCATCCGTTCGGCCCTTCACCACCTAGAAGACTACGAGTGTATCCTCAGACAGGTACATTTTGGCGCCCACCGTGGGGCCGAACCGATAGTTGTAAAGACTTTTGAAGACATTATGGCAAAGACAAGAAGAAACAACGTTGAAGACCACCAGTCCGAAGATGAGTACCGGTCCGAGGCGGACAATGCCGAGACAATAGAGGAGACAAACTTGACTGATATGGTACGCCAAATGAAGGAAGAAATGGCTGCCATGAAACAACAGCGGGAAAGAGATGTTGCCGAGATGGCTGCGTTGCGAGCAGAGAATGCTGCCCTCAAGAACCAGTACCGGGATCCCACATGAAAACCCTCTGAGACAACCCATACTCAGGGGTCGTTCCACTCGCACGGCCATCACACCTCTATCCCTCATACTTCTGTTGCTGCCCCAGCTGTCCATGCTTCAGTCAGCCGGCCAATACAACCAACGCCGGCCGGAGCACACCGACACCCCTTTACCCCAAACATCATGCAGTCTGCACTTCTTGACCATTGGAAATCCTTACCACTCAACAAGTACGATGGTACAACCGACCCAGATGAGCATGTAGATGTGTTCTTAACTCAGGTTACTCTGAGCACGATTGATGACGTCGCCTTGTGCCGAATCTTCCCAACGTCATTGAAAGGGCGAGCGTTGAGCTGGTTTACCCGGCTTCCTGCTAACTCGATTGACTCGTTCAGCACGTTAGCTTCCCAGTTCACCATTCAATTCGCCATAAGCCGACCCCATCAGTTGACCTCTTTAGCATTGGTTAGTATCCGTCAGGAGAAAAAGGAGTCCCTTCGGGCATTCATGAGCCGGTTCAACAAAGCGGCGCTCGAGATCTGAGACCTGAACCCCACCGTAGCTCTGCACCACCTTACCACCGCTTTGAAACCTGGACCCTTCGCCAATAACATTTGCAAGAACCCTCCCACTGACATGGATGACTTGCGTCGGCGAGCCGACAAGTACATGCAGATGGAAGAGTTAGCTGAGTTTCGGAATCAAGCCCGAGCGGAGGTGTCGGCAAGACCTGACAAGCCGGCCGAGAGTAATTTTCGAAGCTGTCCAAAAGAGCTAATTCCTCGTGAGAAACCTCCTCGCGGGCCAAGGTACTCGCAGTATACGCCACTTAACACTAGTAGAGCGGCCATACTAGAGCAAGCACTAGCCTCAGAAGTGCTAGCCGTCCCGAAACGAGCTTCGACCCCTCCCAAGGCCGATACAACTAAGTCTTGTAGGTACCATCGCAATCGAGGGCATTCAACAGAGGAATGCGCGGCCTTAAAAGATAAAATTGAAGATTTAATCAAGCAGGGACAGCTGCAAGGCTTCGTGGGCCACCCAAATTCATCCCGACACGCTGATCGGTCGAGGCGACATGATCAGCTCGAACAAAGGAGAATAGAAACACGCTTATACAGGGAACGCAGTCGGTTCAGAGAAAGAAGAGAAGCGGAGCCTTCGTCACAGCCTCGGCGAGTCATCAACACCATAGCAGGTGGATTCGCTGGTGGTGGCTCATCCTCGTCGGCGCAACGAAGACACTTGCGGGCCGTTCGATATGTGCATGCCGTTGAAACTGTCCGTCGTCATCTACTCACCATAACCTTCACCGAAGCCGATTTCAAAGGCATCGACCCGGATCAGGACGACCCAATGGTAATTAGCGTTGAAATTCACAACTGTATTGTGCGTAAAACGTTGGTTGATCAGGGAAGTTCAGCCGACATCCTGTATTGGAACACGTTCAAGCAGTTGGGTATTCCGGAATCCGAGTTAGTTCCTTATGATGAACCCCTGGTTGGGTTCTCAGGTGAACGAGTTAGAACAAAAGGGTATATCAGGCTGTCAACCTGGTTTGGGTTTGAAGGAGCCGAATACCGAGACATTTCGATTAAATATGTGGTAGTTCACGCCAGCACGTCTTATAATATTCTGCTCGGCCGACCATCCCTGAATTAGCTTGGAGCGGTCGTGTCCACCTATGAAGTTCCCGGCCGAGTTAGGATGTGTCATCACGGTCCATGCCGATCAGAAGACTGCGCGAGAATTCTATTTTGCCAGCCTGCAGTTACCAAGAGTGAATGACGAAGCGACTAAGGAGCCGAGAGGCGTTCACTCGGTGTCATAGCATTCAGCCATGGACCTCGACCCCCGAATCGATCAGGAAGAGAGGATAGAACCCATTGAAGACAAGCAATCAGTTCAAGTGGGAATACTGGAATCCTAAGTTACTTACATAGGTGCTAATCTATCTGAACATGAACGATTGATTATCAGCCAAGTGATCCTCGAGAACAATGATTTATTTGCTTGGCATCCAACCAACATGCCTGGCATCGATCCTAATTTCCTCTGCCACAAATTATCAATAAGCAAGGAAGCAAGGTCGATTGCTCAATGGCGCCGGAAAGCCAGAGAGGAAAGGAAGGCAGCAATTGAGGCCGAGGTCGGCAAGCTATTAGATGCTCGGTTCATCCGAGAGGTGCATTATACAACCTGGCTGGCCAATGTAGTCATGGTAAAGAAGCCGAATGGGAAGTGGCGCATGTGTACCGACTACACCAACTTAAACAAAGCTTGCCCGAAGGACGCCTACCCCTTACCAAATATTGATCGGCTTGTGGATGGGGCATCTGGTCACAAATTTTTATCTTTTCTGGATGCGTACTCCGGATACAATCAAATCCGTATGCACCCCCAAGATGAAGAGAAAACTGCGTTCATCACCGAAACAGCCAACTACTGTTACCGGGTGATGCCCTTCGGATTGAAAAACGCCGGAGCCACCTATCAGCGGCTAATGAACAAAATTTTCAGTAACCATATTGGCCGAAGTATGGAGGTGTACGTCGATGACATGGTGGTAAAGTCAAGTGACGTATCTGCACATGCACAAGACTTGACCGAGGTGTTCCGGGCGCTTCGGCACCACCAAATGAGGTTCAACCCTGAGAAGTGTGTGTTCGGGGTCTCAGGCGGCAAATTTTTAGGGTTCATGTTGTCCAGCCGAGGCATTGAGGCAAATCCTTACAAATGCCAAACCATTCTGGATATGAAAAGTCCAGGTACTCTGAAAGAGGTTCAGAAGTTGGCAGGCCGACTCACCTCACTCTCTCGGTTCCTTCCTTGCCTAGCCGAGATAGCTAAACCTATCCTTCTCTTACTGAAGAAGACGAAGCGGTTCAAATGGACCCCAGAGTGTGAAGCATCATTCCAACAATTCAAGGAGCGTCTTATATAGTACACCTCCGATCCTTTCCAAACCAGTTGCCAACCTCGACATGATTGTGTATTTAGCTGTCTCCGGCACTTCAACTAGTGCCGTCCTGATTCAAGAGAAGCAAGACGAACAACAACCGGTGTATTTCATCAGTCGGACACTACAGGATGCTGAACGATGCTACCAGTTGATAGAAAAAGTAGCCTTAGGGCTCATCTACACCGCCCGCCGACTCAGGCAGTACTTCCAAAGACACAAGATAGTTGTCCGAACTGATTGTCCAATTGTAAAAGTCCTAAGAAAACCAGAGATTGTCGGCCGGATGATGGCATAGTCGGTCGAGCTTTTAGAGTTCGACGTATCTTTCGAGCCGAGAGGCCCCATCAAGTCACAGCATTTAGCCGACTTTGTCAACGAGCTCACTCCTCCGGGTCGTTTTGAAGACGAACCGTGGACCATGCATGTCGATGGATCCTCTAATGCCCAAGGAAGTGGGGCATGTATAATTCTGGCTAGTCCCTCGGGCATCACCGTACGTAGAACAATCCCTCCGCTTCGGCTTCCGAGCATCTAACAACCAAGCGGAATATGAAGCCTTGCTGGCCGGGATGCGGTTATCAACCGAGATGGGCGTGAAAAAAGTCATATGCTAGACCGACTCGAAAATCGTGGCCGAACAGGTCAATGATAACTTTCAAGTCAAAGACTCCAATCTGTTGCAATACTACCACCTCTTCCAAAAGCTCAAGGATGACTTCACTGAGGTTCAGATACGACACGTCCTACGAAGCAACAATGAACGAGCCGATCAGTTAGCTCGGCTCGCCAACAGCCGGAAACTAGGACAATTGCGCACAACCATTCACCTGGAGATTCCTTCCCCAAGTGTGACAGCTGAGTGTATGACAACCGGCGCCAAAACGCCGACCTGGATGACCGCCATTCGGAACTACATTGTCCAAGGGGAATTACCAACCGACCCGATGGAAGCTAAAAAGACGCGAACGCAAGCGGCTCGGTACTCCATAGTAGCCGACGAGCTTTACAGGCGAGGATTCTCCACCCCGTTGCTCAAATGCATTGACAACCTACAAGCCGACTATGTGATGCGGGAAATCCACGAAGGTATTTGTGCTTCTCATTCCGGGGGGCGAACTTTGGCAGCTAAAGTCTTGCGAGCCGTTTATTATTGGCCGACTCTGAAGGGGGACTGCGTCAAGTTCGTCAAAAAATGCGTTCAATGTCAAAAGCATGGGAATCTCATCCATTCCTCGGCCGCCGAATTGCACAGCATCAACTCCCCATGGCCGTTTGCTTTATGGGGTATTGACGTGCTCGGACCGTTCCCGGTAGCAAAGGGACAAGTTAAATTCCTTCTCGTCGCGGTGGATTCCTTAAAAAAATGGATAGAAGCGGAACCGCTCGCCTGCATCTCCGCTGCCAACGTACAGAAGTTATTTTGGAAAAATCTGGTTACCCGCTTCGGCATCCCGTACGCCATTGTTTCGGACAATGGCCTTCAATTCACCGACAAGAAATTCAACATTTTCCTCGAAAACCTTGGCATTCGGCATCGGTTTACATCAGTCGAGCACCCTCAGTCAAACGGGAAGGCCGAAGCAGCCAATAAGGTTATACTCACCAAGCTCAAGAAGAGACTCGGCTCGGCCAAAGGAGCATGGGCCGAAGAGCTACCGAAAGTCCTTGGGACATACTGTTAAGTCTCAATTTTACTTCTTTTTGGATGAGACTTATTGAACAATTCCACTCATCCTTTGAACCATTGCAATATAATTGTTCTCTTTTTGGTTCATTTTGTGTGCAGATATAGCTAACCCATAATTTAGCTAACAATACCTTAATACACCTCATTTTTGTGCAGGTATTGAGCTAGAAACTTGAGGATTGAAGATCTTTAGGATTGGAAATCTAAGGAGTAGGGAGCAGAGCAGAGTGGCTGTGCCGGGCACAAAAGGAATTGCGTGGGGCGTGTTCTGAGGCAGAGAATACTTGATCTCACTGGAAGGCCCCGCGCCGGGCGTGAAGACTTACTCGCCGGGCGCGAAACCCTAATCTGATCTCCCCAAGCTCGTATTTGAAGCCATTTTCGAGGGTTTCACCCTCATTCACACATTGGGCGCGTTTTAGGAGCTGTGGAAGGGATTCCCGGAGCTTGGAGCCGTTCGTGTGTGGGTCTTTCCTTCGGTTTCTTCATTTCTCCTTTCATCTCTATTTTGTATTTGCCCTCATTGTTTTGAGTGGTTTCACCATTTTTTGTGGGGTTAGATGTAACCAACGAATTCTAGTGTAATCCTTACGTTTTCAATGATATATATATGTTGTTCATTCATTGTTGTGTACGTTTCTATGCTTAATGCTTGCTTTGGATTGATCACCCTTTGCATGATTTAAGGTTCCATAGAGTATTGGGAAATACCATTGAAACTAGTTCTGGAACATATGCCTAGTGGAGATTGTATATAGGGATAGAGCTTGACCCATTAGTAGTCTTAAACCCTAGCCCGTAATGCGGGTGTAGATATTGGGTACTCAAGGGATTGATATTCAATGTCCGCACCTAGGCTCTTTCTCTAAGGGATTAGGTTTGAGTAAACTTATGGGTTGACTAAGCAATGTATGTAACAAGAGATTAAGGATTCATTAGTCTGACGTTTGGTGAAATCTAACCCCCACAACCTCACAAAACCATTATACCATCTCTAACCTTTTCCACTCACAAACCAATATTTATTTATAGCTTTCATTCCAATAGTCACAACTTTGAATTCACATGACAAACTATGAAATTGGAATTATTCTTTAGTCACGAATAGTCAATAAATGCTTATTTTACCTTCTAATCCCTGTGGATACGATATTTTTACTACTTGAACGGTCAATATACTTGTCGTGTTTGAGACCGTTGATAGAATTAAACTGATTTACAATTATAACAAAAGTACTTCAACAGAAATCTCAACACATACTGATGCACGCCACAATCAACTACCAAAGAGACGCCTTTTCGATTAACGTACGGCGCGGACGCGATGATCTCAGTTGAAGTGGGAGAACCGTCCTTCAGGCGACAACATTTCCATGAGGAGTCTAATGACAACTCCCCCCAAGCCGAACTCGATGTTCTCGACGAAGTACGAGAGAAAACACAAGTAGTGGCCGAAGCATGCAAACAACGCATGACCCGACGCTTTAATTCCAACCTAAAGCCGAGGACATTTCACGAAGGCAATCTCGTATGGAGAGCAACCGGTTCGGCAAGGCGCAACTCTTCTGAGGGAAAGCTCGCAGCCAATTGGGACGGACCGTTCCGGATACGGCATACCCTCCGCAATGGGGCTTACAAGTTAGAAGAACTGTCCGGCAAGGTCATCCCTCGGACATGGAATTCTACTCATTTGAAGACCTATTACAGTTAGAATTTAACTCATGTACATTTGAAAATGTATAATGATGCACTCTTTTCCTTGAACCGATCTTTTTTCCTCTTAAAAAATTGTGAAAAGAGGTTTTGGCCAGCAAGGTTTTTAACGAGGCATCCACTCAATCAATAACAAGACAGTTCAACTATCTATCACTTGTGTTACATTGTTGCGATTTTATTTCATATTACAAGTCTTCCCTCCCGAGATGTCTCTCGGCCAAGGATGTGGCTTACGTTAAAAATTTTACAAGTCTTCCCTCCCGAGATCTCTCTCGGCCAAGGATGTGGCTTACGTTA